ATTTGTGCCCTCTAATTGTATGGGTCCTCCAACGTATTGTTTATGGTAATAACCTCCTTTTGATTAAGATATTTGCCTTTCTCTTACACTCCAGCCACTTATGATAACAGGTACATTTGTAGGCCAATATATTTTCCTTAGATGGCATCTTGTCAAAAGATAGCTACTTAGGTAAGAGCCTTAAAAAATGTGAGTTTTTATGGGGGGGGAGGGGGGAGTGAGAGCATTTAACAATGTCTATTTTATACTAAGATACACATTTAAGTGTTTTACAAAAATAATATCATCATGATTGTCATGCTAAAATATTATGTGTAGTCCTTGATTTAAAACCTTTTTCTGTCAACATTCTATAGAGATTCAACCAGTAGAACAACCATGCTTGGCAATAATTAGTCTCCTAACTATATTTTTGTTCCAAAATGCTTAATATCCAAGTAAAATTTTAATAGTTAAGTTTACTACTCCTATTAGAATGCTAATGCTATTGATCTTCTCTTCTGGGTGTTCAACAACTAAAGTTTGGAAACCAGAACTACAAAGGTAACTGGGCCAAGAAGACAGTCAATATTTTGGCCCTGGTCCTCCAAGGTCAAAAACAGCAAGAAGATCCAGGACATGAGGGAACCTGCCCCACAAGATCCTACGTCTTTGGTAAATCACCCAACCTCCTGAGCAAGAAGATTGCTTGACACCAAAACAGTAAGATTAAACAAAAAAGTGTGCCAAAGGAATGCTACCTGGAGGAAGAAAATCTTGCATGCTTTCACAGAAAGTAACATGGTCAAGCAAGGCCATAACATATCCTGATGGCTGACACTGACAGAGGAGCTAAGTGGCTCTATTCATGGTTCCAAGATAATGGCTGAGGAGATAATTAACCTTGTTAGATAACAAGAGGTTAATTTTATTTAATATAGGTCTCACTGTAACTTGGTCATAAACACCCAGTAGAAAAATATCAAGATAAAATTTATATGAGTTCAACAAGAGTTTTTAAGGTTTTTAGCTAAAATTGTTTATTATTTAATTTTTAATCTTTTTACACTCAAAATTAAGAAAAATTATGAAAAAACTCTGACATAGATAATCTCCATTTAGTGGAGGGTCTATGAGTCAACAAGTTACCTTCACTATTTTAGTCCCTTAAAAACAATTTCAAACTTCTTTCCCCAAATTACCCTTTTTATTTTTAGGGTTTACACCTTGACTCTGCATGCTGTAATCTCTTAAAAAAATTTTTTTTTGCTTGTTCTTGCCTATAGACTGCCAAACTCCAAGTGATCATACAGATAGTATCAACAACAAATGTGCTAAACATTTCTTTACCAATATCCACCAGATATACCTTATAAAAAGGGTTTTTATTGCTAATTTCCAACATGGTTTTCATATAAGACCCATTAAATTAGCTCCCTAGAAGGGACCCCTGGCTATGGTCTTCCCTGCATCCACCCTTCTCAGCTCAAAGCAGTTGGGTGAAACCTGTACCTCTTCTCCTCTAACCAAAGATGGGTATAGCTCTTTGAAAAAGAGCTTATTATGGACAACCAAGACAGTTAAACACACTATAGGTCCTCAATACATAGGGACAAGCCATTGTTGGGCATGCTCGCTTTTCCCTAAAAGCGCACTTACATAAAAGAAAAATAAAAGGAGATACGTTGGGGGCAAGTCTACATAATTTTGGGCAAAAATCGTTTCACAATTAAATTATGATTAGGCCTGATTCTCCTGCCTACAGGCTAACTATGGCATGTGAGACATAGTTCCATTTTCACCTCTGGTCACAGCTAAAACCTCAATGGTCTGATGATGTTGTGACTGATGCTTTAGGGCAAGATTACACCAGTTGAAGACATCCTGAGTGATAGGTCTCCCACTACCTCAGCAGCTATTATGTATAGTGGCTGCCCTCTTCCTAGGGTGCCTTGCCCCCTCCCCTGTGTGACATTATGCCAAGATGGTTGCTCCCACCAAAGAATAAACCCTTCTTCCCAGCATGCCCCTATTCCCACCTAGAAAGTAACCTAATACTCGCTCACCTCCTACCACCTAGTGACATCACCGGCTCCTCCATTCCCTAGTCACTACCTCACTCAACCCCACCTCAACCCCTACAAACCCCACCCCAGTCTCTATAAAAGACTCTCCCTGCCCCAGCCATATTGCTTTTGTCTCTCCTTTGTCCAGAGACAGCCCAGCAGATCTATTCCCCTAATAAAGGCTTCTTGTGACCTGGTCTGGTCTTGGTCTTCGGCCTCTTACCTGACATAAGGTAACAGCAAATTGGATTCATATTGCTCAGTTAAAGTGTTAGACAGAGAATGTTGACAGGAGAAGCAGGAGAGAAAAGCAAATGTTAAATGATGAAAAGCTTTTGTGCATGTCCAGAGCCTCGCAGTTATAATTTGCTATCAAATAGAGTTGTTAAAGGATTTTAAGTGTGTTGAATTTGCAATTTAGAAAACTCAAATTGTTTGTCTCAATGTGCAGGATGATTGAGAACCGTGGAGAAGTTCTAAATATAAACAAGACAGCAGTGATGAAAACCAATAGGTGAAAATCACATTAGAAATATATTTTAGTAAGTTTGGATTTTCATTGTTTAATGGCCAGATCTTGTTTAAAAGACATATTTACTTCCACATCTACATCCAAGCATGTGCCACCACACCCAGATATGCCATGTACAGAAACCTAATAACCTCAATGAATGTAAATAGTATATGTCATGAACATGAGCTAAGATTATTAATATCAATAAAAATGAAAATAGGAAAAAGAGACTTAGACAAGGGGGGAGGGAAGGGGAAGGGGATTAAAAGAAAAAAAGAAATGAACTGTATTATGTACATGTACCTATTCCTCAATATGAATGTAAACTTAATTTACTGCAAACATGTACTAATAAAAAATAATCTAATTTTAAAAAAACACATTAGAGGAGCTGCATTTTGTTTTAAAGGCACAGGGAAACACTATATAGAAAATATGAAGCAGTAAAATCAGAGTTTAAAATCATTTCTTAGTGGGGCCGGGGATTTAGCTCCGTGGTTCTGGCTCTTTCTTTGCAAGCACAAGGTCCTGAGTTCAATCCCTGGAAACAAAAAAAAAAAAAAATCATTTCTTAATCATCTAATGGAACTCGTGTATTTCCTATAAATTACATATTTATTTTATATCAACAAAGACTAAATGTTTTTGTTCTCTTTCTCCCCATCCTCAAAGTCAAAGCTTCACAGCATGATTATTTCACTGTCCCCTGTTGACAGTTTCCTCATTTCTCCCAAGTTCAATCCATCTTGCTTGTGGCCCTTAAAATTTGATTTATCATATTAGGTGTCTGATTACAGAATCAATTGATTTCTGATACTTCCTGATACTCCAATACCTGGTTCATTCATTTTATTCAAAGCTGTCACTCAATATTTGACAAATTATATGTTCTATTCCTACCAGACCAACACCTTACATAGCTGCCATGTGCTCACTATTTTGCCTTTGCTTGATAGTATAGAGATTAAACATTGCAGAGAAAAACTTAGTAAATGCTAATAGAATAATGTTATCTGTATTCTCATATTTTCCCCATTCTTTCGGGATGACTCTGATCTAACTATTTCATCATGTATGAGATTTATTTCATCTCTTCTTAAAAAGTCTTTTAAGTGTCTATAAATTATAACATTTTTCTATTTCTTATATCCTATTTAAGTTTTATTTCCAGTTCTATTATAAATTCTCTACTGCCATAGCATCTACTCATGCTCCAGCCATTCACTAGATAATGAGCACCATGGCCCTGAACACATAGCAGATACCATAAAATACTTATTGTTTGACAATTTATAGCTTATACAGTACATTAAAGTTTCTATCTCACACATATGTTAAACACCTTCCCCAAGACCTTCTCACGGATTTTCTAGTCTTTACACAGTACATGATGGGGTTCATCAGGTATGGAACCAATAAAAACATATGTGCTATAAGGACTGTTACAAGGGGGCTTTTGTGCTTAGCAAAGCGTTGTACAGCAGCCAAGGTGAGGATAAGAACATAGAAGACGAGCACAGCACAGATGTGGGAGACGCAGGTATTTAGGGCCTTCAGCCTCTCTGTCAGAGATGCAATGTTGATTTCAGTCTTCAAAATCAGCACATACGACACAACAATCAGTGCCAAATCCAGCAAAGTACAGAGAGCAACAAAGAAGCCATAGATAAAATTGATCTTGTTGTCAGAACAGGCCAGCTTCATGATATCCTGATGAAGACAGAATGAGTGAGAAAAGAGATTCTTTTGGCAATATATTAATCTCCTTAGAGTAAAAGGGAAGGGAAGTACTAAAATGATGCTCCTAATGGCTAAGATTACTCCCATTTTAGTAACTCTCTTGTTAGTGAGGATAGAGCTATATCTTAGGGGATATGGATGGTAAGAAAGCGATCCAAAGACATAATTAGAAGTACAGAGGATTCCATGACAGTGAATCCATGGATGAAAAATTCTTGAGCAAAGCAGGCATTGAGTGAAATTTCCATGGCCTTAAACAAAAAGATCCTCAGCATGGTGGGAAGAGAGGAGAGGGACAAAGCCATATCAGAGACTGCCAACATGGCAAGGAAATAATACATGGGCTCAGGAAGTGAGGACTCTGTCTTTATGATGAAGAGGTTGATGCACTTGACCATGAGAGCGATGAGGTACCTGAGGCAGATGGGGATGGAAATCCAAACACGGGCATAGTCCAGTCCTGGAATTCGAATCAGAAGAAAAAGCTTCACACTGATTTGCTAAGAATAGGCATGAAGAGTGGGAATATGAGCTCGTTTGCCAGATCTGAAATGACATAGACAAAAAGCAGTTATACTTTTGGATAAAACTAAGTTTTATAATAGGGAATTCTTTCATGTGTTATGTGCATGAAATTATTTGACATATTAATTCACTGTGATCTTCCGAATTTACCATATGTTGTTAAACATGTTCATATTCTCCCGCATAATAAGCTTACTTCTCAAAATTTATCCTAAATTGATGGTTTTTCACAATTTTTGATCAAATATACAAAAAGTGTCAAAGTAAAGCTGCCTTCATTGAATCAGTAGAGATACCCAGAGGTTTTTTCACTGTTTCTTCTAGGCAATCATTTTTGCAGCAACATTCCTGAATTTTATAGATGAAACTTTCAAATAATAGTTTAATATACTTCTCACTGAAAATACTTGATAAACATTAAGTGCTAGAAAGTAAATGCATGGACTAATTTCTCCTAAATTTAAGAGGAGGTGTGCGGTTATTATGCACACATCATTGAAAAGTAAATACATGTATTCTATCAAGAATTGTATAAAAATGAACAGAACATTTTGTGTATATATTTGCCATTTCTTTGATTGGTTTCAAGTTATTTAATTTATCTGAATATCATTTTAATATGAAAATTAATACAATCTCAGTAGAACTTAATGTTTATGTATATTTATAGTGTCAAATAGATCTAAGTATACCAAATTACAAACAAATATCTATAAATATTAATGTTGACTGCACAATAGTTTCTAGCAGAATATATGTGAGAAATAAAGCAGTGAATACACTCTTCTGAGTTAGGTATCTTTATTTCTTTATGTATCTACTCCTGCATTAAATGTGATATTTCCTTGTTTAAGCACTTATGAGTCACACTTTAGATTATCATATTATTTCAAGGTGCAATTTGAAGCTGTGTAGTAGTATGATGTGCATGTTCATCTTATCCATCCTGATTGGATTATTTTATCTCTTATCACTATTACCAACTTGTTAAAGAAATTGTGAACTTAAAAATCCAAACTACTCAATTTGCTTTTGAAATGTAAACATTAAAAATCCCCCTACATAATAAATTAAACATGATTTTACATTTAGGATTTGTATTTTTAAAAGTTCACTATTTTTATTTTCAGAGGCAAGATATGCAATCTTGGAATTTCTTGCTATGTTTTTAGGTTTCAGTATGACCCAATGTTGAATAAACAGAGTAAATTATCAGGAATACAAATATCAATATAACCAACACAAATTCTCCCCATATTTAGTGTGCCTTTGAATAAATTCATAAATAAATAGGAATTGTAAAATTAATAATTTCAATTTTTTAATAGCAAAAATATAAAAGATGAAGGAAGATCCATGAAAGACTAGAGCTACCACGACAAGGTAACCTCATCCTAGAAATTTTAAACTTCAAATTGTACCAGAAAAAAAACTCATATCATCCAAAGCACACATAGGACATACTTGAAATTACTTTTGTTCCTCTCAATTGACATTTAAGTGTGAGTTAATACATTTCATAACTCTTTGGAGGATAACTGTGAGAAACATTATAAGTGGCAAGCATCCCTGAACTAATAGCTTACTTTGTCTATATAATACTTACTGAAAAAAATATTTGGACAGCCTGTAAATGGAGCTGCTAAATCGAAAAAAAATCATTGAGCAGTCCGACCATGTCTTATTCATTTCCTACCACATAATTCCAAACTCAGGGCAAGTGTACTATGAAGATAACTGTTCTTTCTATTTAACCTACAGACCATACCATCTATCCCATGCACATGCGTGAGCACACACACACACACACTCATACCACAGTCACATCCTTTTCTACATTATAGTCATTTATTGACATAGGTTGTATAACAAAACTTTAAGTTTAGGTTTCAAAAGGGATTTTTAGCTCCTTGCACTTACCTGAATCAGATGCTCAGGTCCCTCAAAGAAAAGACCTTCACTTGATCTAAATCTATTTACTTCTGTTTTCCTTACAAGTGCAGACCTCTGAGAATTAAAAAATAAAATAAAAAAGCCTCCTCTGGGAGCTTCCAATAAGTTTATACAGAAAAGATTGGGCCTAGGACATTAATGTTTTCACACCCAGATTCCTCTATGAGTTAAGCAACACATTGTGAGGCAAATGAATGGTAAGCAATATAATTTATGAGAATGTTTGATATGATGTTCATACAAGTTGAGAAATAAAGTTAAAACAGACTAAATGTAATCAAAACATTTTAGACCCAATTGCAAGCCATAGCATTTGGCTTTTCTTTACCTCAGTTTAATCATTTGAAAAATGGAGACAGTAATATGCAAGTATCAGATGTTCATGAAAGCACTGTACAAACCATAAAATTGTTTATGAGTGATTCCATGTATTTTATGATCTACTTTAAGCAGATGTTATTAGATGAACATTGAAATAAACATTATTATTTATTTTGATGAGATGGAGTAACATCTATAAAAACTGAAATTAGTTTCCAATCTTTTATACTTCTCAAAACAAAAACATACACTTAGTAAACTAGAAATAAAAAAGAACTTCCTCACATTGACAAAACTATCTACTAAAAAATCTATAGCTAACATTATATTTGATGATGAGAAATGCAGAATTTTCACTAGTACCAGTTACAAGGCAAGGTTGTGCTCATTGGTGGAGAAGAAAAAATAAAATTGATGTTGTTTGGAGATGTCATAATTGTCTATGTAGAAAACAAAGAAGAAAAAACAAATTCCTCTTGTCTAACTAAAAATGGGTTATAGCAAGGTTTTATCTTATAAAGTTACATGGTTAATATACAAAGGCCAATTGTTTTCCTGTATCAAGAATGAGCAAGTAAAATATAAGATTTAAAACACTACATCATTTTCATTGTTCCCTCAAGACTTATATAATTTACATGTAAATCTAACAAAATATGCACAAGATTTATATGAAGAAAACCATTAAACTCTGATAAAGTAAATAAAAAATTGAGAGATTTTCACATTCTAAGGATTAGAAGATTTAAAATTGCCAAGTTCTTCCCAACTTCATCAATAGATTCAGTGAAATCCAAGTGAAAGTTATTAGCAACTATTTTGAAAATACAAACAAAATGATTGTAATGTTTAAACAGAGAGACCAAAGACTCAGAATAGCCAATATAATCCTGAATAGAGAAGAAAAAATTTAGGAAACTGATCCTCCTCAAATTCAAACTTACTCCAGATCTTCAGTAACCATGACAGGTTGTTATTGGTTAAAGAATAAACAAATGGACCAAAGGAAAGAAATAATCCCACATAAACATAGTATTTTGACCTTTACCAAAGGATCAAAGACAAAACAATGGAGAAAAAAGTAGTCTTCAATAAATGATGCTGTGACAACTACAAACAAAAAAGCAAAATAACACTAGGCACAGACATTATACTTTTTGCAAAAATTAATTGGAATCTCAAAAATAAATGTAAAACATGAGACTAAAAAACACCTAGAAAATAATATATGTGAAAATCTTGATGACTCTAAATTTAGTGATGATGTTTTAGATACAACATCAAAGCACAATCCATGAAAGAAAATTAAGTTGGACTTCGTTAAGATTTGATTTCTCCCCTGTGAAAAATCACTGATACGAGAATCAAAAAGCAAGCCATGCACTGTTTTACAGTTTTTGCTTCCAAGCTGTTGGATTCACTGTTGAAAGTGTGCTATATTGTGTTGAGGGATAGAATACCACCCTCTTAATTTTTTTTTTCTTTGAGACAGCATTTCACTAGGTTGCCCAGGTCAGCCTTGAAATCCTAGACTCCAGTAAACTTTTGGCTTCAGTCTCCCGAGAAGCTTAGTATTACACATACACACCACAACATCACTTGTTCTTTTTCATATATGCAAATTGGATATGCATGAAGTACAGGCAGAATATCCATGAAGTGCAGGCAGGATATGAATGATCTTGGGAAATCTTAGCAAGACAATGCACCACAGAGGTAGGAGTAGAGATAAACACACAGACACAAAGACACACAGCATCAGTGAAACTTAGGGATCCAATTGTGTAAGAAAAACAGACCATCTCTCCGGTGACGAATTCACACACTTTTAACCTTTTAACATCGAAAGGAAGCAGAACATTTAATGGCCTCTTGGGACTGGAGGTAGTATATTCCAAACTTGAAATACCAACCAACCCAAGAAAGAGTAATATTCTGTCTAAGTCAGGCTGGGGACATCAGGCCTAACTAGAAATTCACAAAAAGATGATGTAGATTCCATAGATATGAATAAACCACTAGCGAATTTGTGCCTTTCCTCAGCTCATACCTGTAGCCACATGAATCAACTCTTAAGACCAAGCAGTGGAGAAGGAAAAAGATCAAGCTATTTTCTGGATAGATAAACTTGGTAAACTGAAAATAAATAGTAGATATGTTACTGGTCGTTTATAACATAAGCGTGAAAGATGACATTTAGAAGAAATTCTCTTAATGGGCAGATTTTTATTAGATGGACCTAGTCATCTCTTTGGTATATAAAAGAAGTGGCCCAATGTATGAATATACACAAAGGAAACTCACTGACAAATCAAGGGCTGATTTACCAGTCTCCTAGAAAGAGGGAAAAAAAGATTAAAATACTAGGGGCAAGGAGAGACAAAATGGCATGCGTATGGATCTACAGAATTAAGAACAAAATTCAAAGATTGTTATATTGCTGATCGATATTCATCAAATTCTGTACACCATGGAAAAGACCTAAACTACCAAGTCAACAGAATGGATCTGACAATTGGTATCAGTTAGTTTCTAACATAAGGAATCTCTATGCTGGCACAATAGACTCCCTAATGAAACAGTCGCAGAGGCAGAGATGGACACTCTTCAAGGACCCAAAGCAAAGATTCTTACTCAACAAAGATGACCACAGTTTTGTTTATACCATATATAAAATTAGCACTATTTGTAATCAATGCCAATCACCCAATGTAATATTACCCCTTAAGCAGAGAATGGCCACTTGACAGAATATTATCCTACCATGGAAGGGGAGCAAATCAACTTAGGGGAGTTGACCCATATGGTGGATATGGCTTTGCTTTTCTTTTGATACTAGTGAGCTTCATATCCTAGTGTTTACAAGGATTTGATCCACCATTATAAGCCCTTATGCTGCATCACTTCATACAGGGGAACATGTAGAACAAACAATTGAACAAGGAACATGTTGCCATCATTCTATCACATACTGCACCAGATATCTGCAAAATATATTCCAAAATAATTCCTTGACTGTAAGAAACAGGGAAATGCAAATCTAAAACAATATACCAATTACTCTGGAGTTAAATCATTTTTTTGTATCTTCAACCACTTTTCCTAATCTCTGAGGTGGGCTAACTTTAATATGTTCACTTCTCCAAAAGTTTTGATCCATTCTAGTCTGACCCTTTCCTGGCCTGTGGGCACCAGTGAGTTAAAACTATGGCATTAAACAAGGCCTGATTCTGGAGTTTTCCAGATCTCTTTTTTTTTTTTTTTGGTACCAGGGATCAAACTTGGGTCCTTGCACTTGCGAGGCAGGTGCCGGAACCACTGAGCTAAATTCCTGGTCCCCAGATTTCTTGATAAAAATTATTTGTTTATCGAAGGAAATGGAGCTTGAGGAATTGGTGTCCCATGAGAGCAAAACTCAATGCCTTCTCAAGGGATTTGTAGTCTCAGATTTAAGTCTTGACCAGCAGATAGCTGAGAGGGTTCTAGCTGAAACACATTTCTGTCTCCCTGTTTGGTTAAATGGTAAGTGAAATGGATCATAGCATAATATTTTCCTTTAATATGCTTTAGCTCCTAAAGTGCACCTGAAATATGAATGCTTTATAACTGGGATTAAGACAGGTCTGTAAATAAGGATGATTATAACAGAAGCTTCACATTTTTGGTGTAGGAGTAGCTTAGATGTGAAAAGGAACAAAAATTTAAAAACAAGCAAACATTGATTTCAACAAGAAATGAAAGGAGGGCTGGGGATTTAGCTCAGTGGTTCTTCTGCCTGCCTTGCAAGCAAGGTCCCAAGTTCCACCCCTGGTACAAAAAAAAAAAAAAGAAGAAATGAAAGATTATCTTGGAGATGTTTGCCTGACAATAAGAGCATTTAATTTAGAGGCTCAGCTATGAAAATTTAAAAGGAACTAAATCTTCTTTTAGCCATTCTTTGTACCACGACTGTCCACCTATCTGTAATCATCTCAGAAATCATCCATCTTTAATGTATATTTAGACAGAATAATAGCAGACTCAGAACTTTACACAGAGAGATTGGGAAATAGAACAACTCATCTGACTGAAGAATACAATTTATCTCCTTAAGCAAATAGAAAAGCAGACTCTCAGGTCCAGAAGCCAGCCCAGGAATAACAAACAGAGTCCCAATCACTAGATAACAATGAGAGGAGAAGCCTATCTTGGAAGAGAAGGCAGGTAAAATGATGTCAAGATTTCAAGCTATGGGAAGAAGAACTTTAGAATAAGGAAAAGAGAAAAACCCAGGTATACCAAATGAGTTATATACATTTGGAAAGAATGTAACACAAGATAAAGTATAAGGTAGTATTTAGCACTCATCAGAGGAATGGGACAAACTAATGTTTTAATTCCAGTTTTTCACTTATTAGTTATTTAAAAAACAAAATTAATAATAGTACCTTCCTCATAAAGATGCTCTGATAATTAAGTAAAACTTTTAATATAAGGAATATAAGGTGCCATCTAAGAGAGAGCATTTCTGAATTTTAATTCTTATTTGAAGTAAAAGTTAAACTTTTCCCTCAAGAAAATCAATTTATTTAATAAATATTTGAATCATGTTTCTATGTAGGGCATAGTACTTGAGAATAAATGCATGGAAGCCATTTGATTATAGCTATTGCTAACAGGAATTTGATTATGTTTCAGACTGATGTAGGGATTTTACAGCTTTATCCCTCATCCTCACAGAAATTCTCCTATTTTACAATCTTCCTTTCATCAGTAAGGCCAAGAGAGTCTTCAGATAAATCTATATTTTTAAGTTCATACAAAAAGTGAATACATTGGTTTTAAAAGCAGGACTATATGAATTTAATCTTTAAAAAAAAACTAGATCCTAGTAAGAGTTCCTCATTTTTTTTTTAGTTCCCATTTAAAAAGATCTCCCTTCTCTTTTTTTCTACCCGGTCACCTTGCCACGATCCAGGCCATCTTCTATCTGCCGCAATACTGATCTGGGTAAGCAGATATTGATAACGTACCTTTGCCTTTACTGGTTTAGAGTTAGCTCCATATATTTGGTTTGTTACTGGCAATCTCTACCGCCCTTTTTCCCTCTCGTTCTGTGCAATTTTTTCAATAACAAGCCTGAAAATGACTTCATTTATTTATGTATTTATTTCATATGGTGTCTATAAAGGTTGAGAATAATATTGAAATCATATTTTATGTGTATCTCATTTATTGCACTCACATTGAATTACTTTAATATCTTCTAAGTAATACTCATTTAAACTAATGCTAACCCTAAGGAAAACACTGATCACCAGCTCAGAGGTAAAAAAAATAATTCCAAAGATAAGTTCACGTAAATGAAAATCAATTCAGTTTCATGTGATTTAAATTAATAATGGTTGAATGTATACTACTTGCATTGTGATGAAAATATCAAGATCATTATGACAAAGGCTGTTTTTAATGATCTCATTGGCTACCATAGAAAACAGACACATAAACAAGAATTACAGAACCAGAGAGGTTCTGTAATACAATTACAGTGCAATAAACTATAGTAAGGGTGCATAGACCCTGCTAGTAGAGATGACAAGGAAAGACTTCTAGGAGAAAGCTATTCATGATCCTCTGACTAAGGTTGTTAAAGACCAACAATTGTCCTAAAGGACCTCTGCACTATAGAGGCAAGAGAGTGGCTAATATTCAGGTTGTGACATTATCTCTGCTTTATCCTTTTTCCAGCCATCAGCTCCCCTAGAAGGGAATTTGTCCTTAAAGGTTCATGAAGTGAAAAGCTTGTGGCCTTCTTCTGAATCATCAAGGCCCTCTAACAAAGCCCAGGCTCTCAAAGAAACTCTGATATTCTTTTGCCAAGGAAGAGAAGAAATTAGAACGCTTTTTATAACTTGAAGATTCATTGTCCCTGATAAATTTAATTCAATAAGGAAAAAACTCTCAAACATGCACGATGAATTGAATTGTCTTGAAAAAGCTCTCCAGCTCCAGGACATCTACTAATGATACTGGGGAGAAAAAGGATCCAGAAAATACCAGCACCCCTCATCCCCAGGATGACATCCATCTAACCCTGATGCTCACCATTGCTGACTGGGCCACATTAAACCACATTAAACCTGTGAGAATATATTTTGGATTACATATATTATTCTATGAGTATAACGTGTTATATGTTACATATATATTCTATAACATGCTATCCTACAACAAAGAAGGATTTTCATTTGTATTAGAGGTTAATAGCCAACAATAATGATATTTTTATTTCCTTACTCTGGACTGCTTCCTTTGGAGATTATTGGAATAAAATCAGTTTTGGAAGCTCAAGACCTTGCCTAAAAAGCATTTGGATCAAAAGTCGAAAAATTCAAGAAAACTCATTGATCTCTTAAAATTTACTTCTTGCAGTTTCCTTTAAAAAAAAATTCAAGACTCACTCTTTCCAGGCAAAAGGAGTTACTCTATAGTTTATTCTGATATTCTGATGACATACAATTTTTCATTGGCTAGAGGTGGGGAAGACCAAAGGTTTATGAAAGAGAATTGATTTACAAATTGTTGTTCTTTATGTGATTTTTTTTTTAAATTGAGAGCACAACAGAAACATAGGACTAGTCAAGACAATACCTATAACACTGGTTCTTCTAGATTCTCCTTGTCAGTAAACATTATGTGACTCTTTACATTCTGTTTAGGAGGAACGTCTCATTCTTTTATTTCTTGATATTAGAGTTTCTCAAAATTGTACTTTATTTCTCTGAAAAAACATGCTAAAAGAAAGGAGATAAACACACTCACAGTGTCATAAATGCTTTGAAACTGACTCATCATGCACACTCTCAATTCTTCTGAAATCGAGATCACCACCTTCTTCCTGATTGTAATCCCAGGTCTGAAGCATATTCACATATGGCTCTCCCTTCCCATCTGCCTCATGGACCTGGTGGCCATCCTGGGTAACTGCACCATCCTCTTTGTGATTGGGACTGAGCCCTCACTCCACGCACCCATGTACTATTTCCTTTCTATGTTGGCTGTTTCTGACCTGAGCCTGTCCTTCTCTTCCCTCCCTACTATGCTGCGGATCTTTGTGTTCAATGCCACAGGAATCTCTCCAAATGGCTGCTTTGCTCAGGAGTTCTTTATCCATGGATTCATAGACATGGAGTCTTCAGTGCTCCTGGTCATGTCTTTTGACCGCTTTTTGGCCATACGCAACCCTTTGAGATATAACTCTATTCTCACTAGTGCCAGAGTAGCCAAAACAGGGCTGGTGTTTCTCATCAAAAGCATACTCTTAGTGCTCCCATTTCCTTTCACTCTGAAAAGATTAACATACTGTAGGAAAAGCCTACTTTCTCACTCCTACTGCTTCCATCAGGATGTCATGAAATTGGCATGCTCTGACAACACAGTCAACTTTTTCGATGGTTTCTTTGTTGCCCTCTGCCTGATGTCAGACAGTTTGTTCATTGCTGTATCCTATGTGTTCATCCTGAAGACTGTGATGGGAATTGGATCCCATAGGGAGTGGCTCAAGGCCCTCAACACCTGTGTCTCCCACATCTGTGCTGTGCTCATCTTCTACATGCCCAACATTGCTTAGCCTCCATGCACCACTTTGGCAAGCACAAGTCTCCAATGGCCATGATCCTCATTGCTAACATATTGTTGCTAGTGCCACCTCTGATGAACCCCATTGTGTATTGTGTGAAGACAAGGCAAATCCGTCAAAAAGTTCTGGGCAAACTGGGTCTAAAGTAAAGTTGTGGGGAAAAAATGTGGGGTAGGGTCAACAAGGGTATCAGGGAAGAAAATAAAACCTGTCTAAGCAAATGCTATCAATGATTAATTATCTTTCTTAATTATCTTTATATTCAGTACAACCTATTGTCCACGTATTATGATTGTGTCTGGAAACCTAGGACAGGCATGGGCATTGATGAGGACAATTAATACAGTATTTGTACACTGTGAAATAAATAACTGATAAAGGCATTTTAGTTACACTGTTTATAGCACAAACATTTAAGCACATGTGAAAATAGAGCCTGTCTCCTTGAAGATAATGAATAACAAAGAAGTGGAAGGTTAGGATATGTTGTGACATTCTAGTTACTGATTTTCTTTCTCTCGGGTATGTTGTATTTTTTCGAGGGACATCAGATAATTTTGTTGGAATTCTTGATTTCCCATGTGGGTGAAAGAAGTCAATTGTCAGTAAGAGTAGCTTAGAAATCTTCTCCTTTTGCTTTTCCCTTAGTAATCAAATAGGGATGATGCGTATTTCTTTCACCTTAGAGCTTTTATACTCTTGACTTTTGAAAATAAACTCATCTATAACATTTTTTAAAACATTATTTTTTTCTTTAAAATATTCAAGGGATCCAAGAAGTAGTACCCACTATATGAAGAAAGAGGGATTGTTGTGTCATTGGTAAGAAGTAGGAAGGACAATAACATGCATATGTTAATTTTTAAGGAAATGCTAATCCTGATTATGTGCTGTAAAATATCTGATATAAATTAATGGTTTTTGTGGTTGTTAGAGTATTGAATATTTTACATTATGATATAGCCAGTTACACTAAACAAGGTACAAATAATTTTAAACTGGTAAAAATATCTATGTATTATATAATATAAAGTCATGTGCATGCATGTATGGCTCCGTATTGTAAAAAGATAAACAGCCAACTAATGATGATTGGGTTCCTCAAAAGATTTTTGTAAAATTCCTCTGTTTCTGGTTCATCTTTCATTTTGTACAATTTATTTTTAGACAAATATATAAGAAGTAGTATTTAAAATAAGCTAATCCTTAAAATTTTGTACAGAAATTGAGAAAAACTATTAATAATAAATTTGAATGTTTTACTTCTTGCGTAAGTAAACAAACAATTAATGTTACGTTTGTTCCAAAGGACAATTTTGAAAAAGTTATTCTCTGTTGGCTAACTAATCTTCTGGTTTGTGTTCCCAGGTGAATTTAAATACATTCTTGTTCGATAGCTTACCCTGAGTAGATAACCACCTACTGGGGAAAGGAAGGAACGCACTTGCTTGCCCCTTCTCAGTTCTTTTTTAATGAACCCAAATGCTCATTAATTAAATATTATAATACTTAGTTCACATGTCTGTTTCTCCTGCTGGTTTTCTTTTTTGTTTTTGTTCTTATTGTTTTCACAAAATTTCTGTAAACTAAATTGATTGGCAAAGTTCCAGTACTTGCACAGTGCTTATAAATAGACATGTGGCTAGGCTAGTAGACTGACCCATTTCCCAACTTATTTGGGAGAAGAAGTGGATCAGAACCAAAAAAAAAAACAAACCTACTTTAACAGCAATAAATTGCAAGAGCAGTGAACATCTGGAATAATAGAAAACCCTACTGTTAAAATCAGTGAGGAGTAACTAGTAATTTTAAGTCAGAGAAACTACCCTCAAAAAATGGTTTAAATTCTATTAAACTATTGAAGAAGTAAACATCAGGATAAAAGAAACAAGAAAGAATGTCTTTGCCCCTTTAATCTTCACCTCAAATTCAGAAATTCAAATCTGTGTCAGATAGGAAAGGCTAAGTCATAATATGACAATAAATATTGTTTCTGTATTAGAAGAGTGAATTGAATAAAAAACTGGTTTTTAAAAATCTCAGTTGTCATATAGATTTCATAATCTCCCATTAAGTTTGGAATAATATTTTTGGATACATGCCAAAATAATTATAGAAATGGAATATAATGAAGATTATGGCATATAAATAAATAAAAACTGAGATTAAAGTTGATATAATCATAACATTTATTAAACATATAAAGTTGTCTAATTTGTTCAATAAACTAATGAACAGAACAAACAAAAAGAAAAAAACACTTCAATGTACAATACAGATGGGAAAACTTAACACATAATTAAGAAATATCAGAACATTGAGCAAAATAAATTCATTAGTCAAATAACACTGGTAGAAATAATACTGGTAGAATAATATTTTAAATATTATATGTTTGCAAGTGATATTGTGTGACACATATAAGTAATTTAAAATAAGAACTGAATACAAAGATAGCTCTAAACTTTACTTAAATGCAATAAATAAATAGTATTTGGATGAGAGCAATTTTCTAAGGAAGTAACATTAGAAAAGTATGTCAAAATGCAATTAGTTATATGAATAATCTTTATATAGTTATAATTTGGAAACCAGTAGGGATAGGATGTATTCCATATTTATAAGCTGCCAAGCATTGAGCTGTTTACTTCTCTTAACAACATTAACTTTCCCAAGAGCATGAGAAAATAGATTTTATTATCTCCTCTTGTTCTGTACATTAGAAAGTAAAGTTTTCCAAAATATTAAACAACTTTCTAAAGATGTAGAGCTCTAAAGTTTTCAGAGATTGAATCTAAATCCAGACTATATGATTCTTAATCCTAAAATTCAGGCACTAATAGATTCAAAATTATTTTGCTGCCTCCAAAATTTAATAATTTATATTTCTAGGAATCTAAGAACATAGTAATTATTTATATGAATATATGTCAAGAGTTACTAAAATGTTAAATAAAAGTAAATAGTAATATAAACTATGATATAAATATTATTCAATATATTTTACCCATGCAGCCCAATATTAACAACAAAATGATATTTACTAGGCAACATATCAGGTGTTAAAGATTAAATAGAATATAAAAAGTAGTTCTGATATCAAGCATCCTACAGAGGTAGAGAGAACAAATAAATTGTTATATTCACTGAGTAAAGTATGGTAAGTTTAAGCACACCTAAAAATAATGATAAATTATATATTTTGAAAAAGAATTAAAGATTTCCTTGAGGAAATGAAGTCTAGTATAAAATATTATGATTTCATAGAAAATATGAATAATCACAAAAAAGGAAAATATACATGTAAGTATACACGGTTATCTCAGTTGAAATATTTGTGTCCATATGTTTACATAGTAAAAAATGATCAAGTGAAAAATTTAAAAAGATCAACTCACACATATATTATAAATAATCCTTACCTTTTTATTTTTTTATTATTTTTTTTTATTTTTTGGTACCGGGGATCGAACTCAGGTCTTTGCACTTTCGTAGCAGGTGGCTAAACTGCTGAGCTAAATCTCCAGCCCAATCCTTACCATTTTAAATAGATTTTTGTATTTCTTTACATATTCACAAATTTTAATTATGTATACTAGATGTGACATAATTAGAAAAAAACTCAAATACATTAAATATATGACTAAAATTACAAGAAAAAACAAATTCATATCATATTTACAATTTCTACCATAGGGATAAAGTACATCAACGAAAACCTTCTTGGTATGGAGTAGGCAGGTTGCATGTTGAGCAAGTTACGAAACGTACATTTGAAGTAATAGAAGATTAACAGAAATAAGGCAGACTGCTTTAAGTACTGACCATCATAAAAATAGAAGAATCATTGCACATTCCCACAAATGATCATCTAAAGCCCTTGAAATTTAGAATTTTTTATGGTTTAAAAAGGCCCTACAGTCTTTGAAGAGTTATTTTGTATTCAAATACAATGTCATGATGTAGAATAAATAATGACCACAAATATATTCACATCAGTTCATTTTAGGGTTATTCAACCAATTCATTTTGACACTAAACTTAGAAAAAATTTAAATAGTGTTTTCTAAGTGCTCTTAAATTTCTGAACTGTTAGTAGGGAATAGTAGAACTATAAAAGAAAACTTTTAAGATCCTCAAATAAAGTAACACAGGGCCAGAGATCTCTGTAAGGACTGATGCAGGCAGCTCAGATGCTTAGAGGAGGCTATGATCTGAGACATCCTGCCCATCGGGGTCAGCATCTCTGCCACAGTGTGACGCTGTCTAAGGAAAAGTGTCTCCACTGCTGCTGCACAGGCCCTCTTCTTTCGTCAAGCACAGAGATGTCTGGATCAAAACCACGAACAGTAAAAAGCAGTGTTTGGAATTTTATACTATTACTGGTGTCCTCACATAATGCCAAGGAACTTCATCCAGCACTTCTAACATGCCCAACTGTGCGCCAGCCTTCCCTGACCCTCCGCGCTCCTCAAATTTTTGCCTAAAATTGTCTCTTATGAATGATCTTAGGGCTGTAGTTTTATTCTGGAATTACTAACAGGGTGTCAGTCTAAATAAGAAATCTTCTTTCCTTAATCCTTTTTCTACAGAAAATGTTTAGAAACTACATGTGTCTTGGGACTGCAGCTTTTGCATAATAGTTGTGTTTTCTCTTTTGAGGGGCGAGGTTCCTTGTAAAGAGGACAAAACCAAAGAGACACTTATTTGGAAGCAATATGAGAAGGGAAATTTGAAATACAAAACGCTAAACTGTGGTATACTGAATTTCAAAGGCTTCTCATAAAGTTCACACAACCAAAAAAGATTTTGGTAGTACTGTTCGATGTGGAGACTGGAACACTGAAATTTATTTCAAACTGGACTACTTTGTAGGTTGGTCACTGTACTGGTTTTTTGCCATTTAAAATAATGATTCCTGCCACATATTTTGGAGTGTTTGTATAACACCAGTGACATGTCTAAAGGAAAAATTTCACAAGTTATTGAATTGTGAATAATAAATGACTTTTGTTGGTAATTTTTCGATAAGAGGCTATTGTGTTTTTAGCAAAGCAGGGTCACAAACCCATCAGTGTTTCATCAGAACAATGCAGATTTCCAGAAAACTGATGTAAATGAAGCAGAGTGTGGGCCTGGTAGCATTTCCTATCTACCAAGGAGTGGGAGATTGGTAAAGAGGAAGGAGGCAAGGGGTTCAAATCAGAATACCTGTTTGGTGTACTGTGGTCAGACAACAATTACCGAGTGTAAAGAACATTTCATAAATATATGTAGAAGAAAAGTTGCAGAATTCTCTCTAACACAGGGTCAATTCTGTAGTCGAGGTTACATCTTCACAAAGTAAATGCTCTTAATAAAGATAGGGTCGAGATTTCTAAACAGCATCAAAGTTATCCTGCAATTCTACAGTGACAAGTACAATGCGGGTAGACGCAGCTAACAGGGAGGTGGAAGCCAGCAGATGCATTTAGACAAAGGCTGCAGTTCCAGGGCCAAGTCAGCACGAAAAACAGGTATGGTATCAGAATCAGAACTATATTAGAATATTTAGCTGATAGAAACTAACAAAAGGTAATGTGTAATTTTATATTGAACCTACTGGAAATATACAAAATAGCAATTAGAACTGTAAAAATATCACTGTTGCTACAAAAAATTAATTAAGGAAGGATAGAATTACCTCTCTCTAGAAGTGACTCTAAGAACCAAAATCAGAGTTGAAGATTTTCTGAGTTTCCAATTACGAATTTCTGCATGTGTGCCTTTGCACACCTATGCAACTTTTCCTTTTACCAGCTCAAGGAAATATCTTCATTGTCTCCTGAGAAAAACAAAATTTGATCTCAGGGGAAAAACAGATCTTACTCAATTGAATTAAAAATAAAATTATGATTTATCTCTAGTCAAAGAATTATTGCTTTAAAGCAGATATATTGTTTCACTGGATTGAAATGATTTTACTGTACTCCATATATGTCCTTTAAAATTTTGAGAGATATATCAAAAATTTAGTTGGTTTTGAACTGTGGATTTTTTTAAAAGTCTTTCATAAACTCAAGAAAAAATTCTTCTCTTCTTCTCACTCCTATAATCCAGTTGGAACTGCCTCAGTCCCCAAAATGTCTGCATGACACTGCCTCAAATCCCATCCCTACTTACTCATAATTTATGTGCTAGAACTTATCCCCCTTTGATTCCACCATTCCCTAAGTCCCCTCACTTTGGTTCCTCTTAAACTTTTGAACTGGAACAGCTGGGTCATGGCCTGGTGGATCACCTTGGTCTTCAAGCTGTAAATGATAGGGTTCAGTACAGGTGGTAAGAGCAGATAAATATTGGCCAAAGTACTACAAATAACTCTCGGAGTGGAACTGAAAAGACGGTGGGCTAAAGACAGGCTTATCATTGGCACATAGAAAACTGTAACAGCACAGATGTGACAGACACAAGTGCTGAGGGCTTTTTGTTGCTTCTTTGGTGCCACAATGCTCAGAACAGTTCGGAGGATCAAGATATAGGAGAAAAGAATGAACAATAAGTCAGTGCCATTCAGGTAGAGCTGAAGAAACATCCCCCAATAATTGCCAAGCAAAGCCTTGGAATATGAGAACTTGATCACATCTGAGTAGTAGCAAAATGGGTGTGAAAGTTCTTGACCTCCATGGAAAGACTCATTGATCAAGGCTACCATACAGGGGAAAGAGAAAATTACTTGCCTTATGCACACCGTTAGTACAATCACCAGGCTCATCATGTCTGTGAGGATGACAGCATACTGCAGTGGGTTACAGATAGCCATGAAGCGGTCAAAGGCCATGGCTACCAACACCGAGGACTCCAGGAAGGAGAAGGTGTGCACAAGGAACATCTGAATGAGACAAGCTTTAATGCTGATTTCCCGGGCATGAAACCAGAGAACCCCAAGCACAGTGGGAAGGGTTGTGACGGTCAGACATAGGTCAATAGCTGAGAGCATGGAGAGGAAATAGTACATGGGTTTGTGGAGACTCCGCTCAGTGACGATGATGAACAAGATCATGCTGTTTCCCAAGAGGGCGATGGTGTAGAGGCAGCAGACAGGAACAGAGATCCAAACATGAACAAGTTCCAGTCCAGGGAAAGCAGTGAGGAGGAAGTTGGAGGAAGAGGATGTAGTGTTGTTGAAAACTAACATGGTGAGTGGAGTCTACACTCTAAAAAGAAATACAATAATGGTAATATTTATCATTTGATCTTTTTTTTGTAAATACTTTCTTTAATAAATCCTTCCCAAACCACACAATTGTATCTCTTTATTCAAAACTTTTGATCTAATCACTACATGGGATTAGCACTATCATATATTTCTCCAGTGTCTTAGATTTTTCTTGTTAGATTCTCTCCCATTTTGCTGTCTCTGCTTTATAAGCATTTCTAAATCATGACCATCAACTCAGACTCATTCCAACATTAATTTCCAGACTAGTCTTAGCTTCAAAAAAGAAATGCTTACAGAATTATGTCACACATTTGCACACATTCCAACAAAACAGTTTGCACAGTTACAACCCGTTGGGCCATTTGGTTAAATCTCCAAGTGATAGAAGTTTCTCCAGAAATAATGAAAAAGCACATAAGAGCCACTCTGGACACCTATGGGATCATACTCTGTGTGGTCCTTGTTGAAAGCTGGTAAGGATACTGTATCCAGAGGTATCCTTGTACCTGAATCAAGGACTATCATTTCCTTTTAATGTCAGACATTCATTTCATTTCCTGTAGAGGAATAATTTCAATAATTCTGCCCTTCCTTCCTTCCTCCCTCACATATTTGAGAGACTGGGATTCACTATGTTCTTTATTTCTATTTCTCTGGATGGTTTTCCAAGCCTACTGAAATAACTAGGGCATATATTTTCTCCATCTTTCAATTTTGGGTTCTGTTCTCACTCCTCACCTTATGAATTTGAACCCATTTACTTTGAGAAAACTGTCCTAATGATATTGTCCAGATTTCTAAGCATTATTCTGGAATAAATGACTTCAGACACCCTGGTTTAGTACCAGTAAGTGATCCTAGACAAAATATCCTGCCCCATATCAATTTCTACCTCTGTTCTGATATTTTGGTAAAGTCACTATGAGAATTTAATGATTCACTGTGGAGAACATGCCTTGTTTTATTACTATGATGGGGCCATTGATGTTTGCACTATTTTATGTTACTATAAGGACACAGGAACAAATTCTTCACCCCTCCTGCTTATTTTTCTTCTCTTGATGATTGAGCTACTTGTGTCAATTTACAGAATTATTCCAACTTCATGAAGTTCCTTCTTTTATGGCCTGGCTATGTCCTTGGTTGAATTTACTTGAGATCACTTTCAGGCATGAGAAAAGGCATGAGAAACACTCCATGACATGTGATAAGTGAGACTGAAGTAGGGAATAATATAAAGAGAACATCTCAGAAATAGGCAAGTGGATGTGATGCCACAAATTGGAATATTAGGTAGTTTGTGAAATTCTCTTACTCTGTGATAGCTATCCAGGAATGTCTGTGCAATACAAAATTTACTGACTCTCCTCCTATATTACTTTATGCACGTTTTTATAACATTTTGTATTCTTATTGGATCATATTTCTATATCCTGCTAGGATGCTCAATGGAATAAAAATATATGTTGCTATTAAGTTTTTCCAGAGACACACATGATTGGCATTTTATACATATTGCTCTGTTTAAATGATACAGGATGAAGAAACAGATAAAGAATAGATAAGAGAAAAATAAATTGAGCCTGGAAGTTTTGAGAAAATGATGAGCCATTGGGAAATTACTTCCCTAGACATTATAGAGTGTGACATAGTGTCGGTAGGAGAAGAAAGAGTGGACAATAAGAGAAAAGAAAAATAATATTTTTTGTGTAGGTCATACATTTCGATAATCTTGTTATACATACTTTTATATAATCCTAGGAAAAGTTTGACAGGGATATTTTCTCTTGTTTTATAGAAAACAATGGTGCAAATTCACTTATATACAAGGCAAATAGATATAGATTCAAAATTCAAAACCAGATTTACTAAATCCAAGTTCCATTGTATTTTACTAAACTTCAGATTGTCAGAGAGGCCAGCCATATGAGATAATCTACATGGTTGTTTGTTGTGATATTCTTCTTCTAAATAAACAGATATTGTATTATATATCTACATGATTCAGAGGAGAGATAGACATGCATATAAATAAAGAACTGTGTCTTCATGGCACAGAATATTTGAGGAATCCAAATTTACTTGAAAATATGTGTGAGTGTCTGCAAATGTTTGCATGGCATGTATTCCAGTGTGCTGGTGTATGGAAAGGGGAGTTTGGAGTAGAAATTCATTTACAAGTAAAGTACAGATGGAGCAGATATTAATTATCTTCTGTTCTTTGAATAATGTCTCATAAATGACACAAATATCACTGGATGATGTCATATGAGTAGAAGACAGGACAGTGGCTCATTTTGCTGCTAGGGAATGTGTGCCTTATGGGATGGACCTATGTAGACAGAAAGAAGAGACAAGGGCTTTCTCTCTATAAACTCATTCACTCTGGAGCCAACTGTAGCACAAAATGCAGCGCCTAAGTTCATCAAGTCTTCCATACATTGCCCACTAGCCAGAAAAACAAATGGACTCATGCTTTCTGACTTCAGGTACAAGTCTCCATCTTACTTGCCCGACAGAAGGTAACATCTTCCCATATTTATTCAGAAGGCTAGTCATACATAATGACTTGAATGAGATCCACGCAATTCTATACTTCAGTGATTCAAAAGTCAACACCCCTGCTTTCTGGCATCAATAATGATATAGTCCCATCCTCACCACTTGCCAACCTCTACTTTCTATCCATTTGTCAACACTGAATTCTATTCCTCCATGATCCAGAACCTGCTCTGACAAACCTAGGACATGTTAAACTGAAATTTCCCTTTTCTAAATCTTTGTACTACTTAGTGCGTGGACATTTAATTGGACTACCAGTAGGGAGGCAGAGCTGATTCTAATATTCAGATAGGCAAGTATCATCTCCTTTTTCTGCTTGGAATGTGAGATCCTTGGAAGTTTGGCTGTATATGTTTTTCATGTCTCAGTGCTACTTATTAAAGCAGGATTTGGAAGAATAGAAAGGTTCAGTTAATAATACTAATTGCCTGTTGACCAATCATGGCTATAGGAAGGGAGTTCTAAGTCTTATCTCCTTTTCTATTTCCCCTTTATTTTCCCTTCTGTGCTCTATTTCTTTGTGCCAATTTCTTCCTGGATCGCTTATACCCCTCTCTTTTGAATCACCTTACTCAAAACTTTCATCTTTCATTCTTTTGAGACCTTCTGTCTTCATACCATTCCTCATTCTTTAGTTCTTTCCTTCCAATTCCTACCTGTATACGTGGTCTCCTTACCTGGTCACATTAGCAGGAAATACCACCAACTTCTCTTCAGAGTAGTAACTAAACAAGCTCCCAAGTGGAGGCTTTATATGCAGCCTACTTCAAGCACTAGGCAGTATGAAGTATTCTTGATTAGTTAAATACACTGATTAGAGCAAGAGTGATGGGATCCATAAGAATATGTTCCTCTACAATATCTCAGGATCAGCTTCAAACCCTGCTCCCAGGCCCAAGTAAAACCCATCCATCAGGACCTAGGAGCAGAGCCTCGGCCATGGGGGCTGACAGTAATAGGTGTCTGCAAAAACAACGTGTGTCAGATAACTACATCCATTCCTCTTCACCCAGCCTTAGGCAACAGATTCTCAGCAGGGAGGCTACACACATGTCATAGACAGATTAAGTTAGAGCCAGAAAGAGCAATGCTTCTTTTCTCTGATTCCAGTATATATTCTTTTTAACAGGTCTCATTATCTGTCTGGCCATCCTTACGGCCCTCCTCTTACACAAAAATCCCTCCTAAGAAGCCATTCCTTTTGAGTTACATCTTCAGCCCACCAATCTAATCCTAAGCCTAAGTAACCTGACATTCAACAAAAATATAATATACATCAGAAACTACATTATATCTTTTAAAAACACTGTTCACTCATGATCAGCCTTATAAACAAAGGCCAGTATCCTTGAAAAACATAAATGTAAAAGTCCTTAACAAAATATTTGCTAATTGACTCCAACAGCACCTTAAGAAGATTATTCACTATGATTGGGTAGAATTCACTCAGGATGCTCAGCATATGCAAATCTATGTGACACAGCACATCAACAGAATTAATGATCAAAACCATATAATCTTTACTTGTATAGGGAGAAATTCAAATACTTCCCCAAATTACATATTCCATTGTTTTAAAAATATTTCAAAGTACATGCTAATTTGTTTCATTTCTATTAATAGTTTATCCTAGTTGAAAAGAAAGCTTGCATTAGTATTTGTTTCTTTTTTGTGAGACTCTTGTTTCTTTTTTGGTTTATGCTTTGTACTGACTAATTACTTTAAAGATAGCAATGTACAGTGTAAAAACTATTGTTATTATCCTATTATTTGTTTATAAAAATGTATTTTATTTTTTCACAAAATAAAAAGAAAACAAGACATTGTTCCCTCAAATTCAAAAAAAAGCATATCATCATCTCAATAGATGAAGAAAACTTTTAGTAGATGTAGAAAATTATGTGATAAAATTTGATAGACCTCCATGGTTTTGAACATATCAGTTATAAAAGGAACGTACCTCAACATAACAAAGACTATTTATAATAAGCCAAAAGTTACCATTATACCAAATGGAGAAAAGGTGGAAGCTTTCTCAGAGTGACCTAAATAATAGAAGACAAAAATGCCTGGATTAACCACTTTTATTCAACAACAAATTGGAAATACTAGCCAGAAAAATCAAGCAAGAGAAATACATAAAGCAAGTTGGAAAAAAGAAAATTAAATTATCACTGTTTGTAAATGATAAGATCTTATATATAGAAAACTCCAAAGACCTCACCAAAAATTATTAGAACAAATAAATGAATTTGGCAAAATTGCAGCATGCATAATCAAACTACACAAAATCAGTAGAGTTACTATATGCCAATAGCAAATATTATAAAATGGAAATAAAGAACAGTTCCTGTTATAATAGCTACAAAAGAGTGAAATAGCTAGAAATTAATGCAATGAAAGAGGTGAAAGAT